TTTAAAAATCTGGAAAAAATAGAAAGTTTACTTTTCGAGAAAGATTGATGAAATGATTAAAAAATTGCAATTTTTTAAAATTACCACTATTGTCCATAAATAATTTATAAACAATGAATTTTTCACGGTAAGAATCATTTGCTCGAAATCGTAACAAATTTATTCATATTCTGAATTTTACCAGAAATATCAATTTCATGCCTCAAAAATAAAGTTCCCGATAGTCTAAACAATTTCAATTATTTATTCATAAACAAGGAATGTTTAAAAAAATAATAATTCTGTGCAAAATGAAATTTAAATGACGCTGAATATTTTTCTCACTTGAAATAATTTTTACGATATAGAAAACTTCTTTTTCGACTCTAGTTGAGGGTCAAATGACCTTTAAGGACGTTTGGAGTTGAGGATCAAGTTGTTTTAAGGTCAAATGGTTTTCAGGGTCGAATGACCTTCAAGAACGGTTTGGTTTGAGAGCCAAATATAGTCTTCAGAGTCCAAAAATCCTTAAGAATCCCTTAAAAATGTTTGGAGTTGAGGGTCACCTTGAGGGTTAAAAGATTGTCCAGGCCATTTGCCGTTGAGGGTCAAATGACCCTTGGCAAAAGACCTTCAGGGTTGAGCGTAAAATGGTTTTCAGGTTCACATAATCCTTATAGACAGTTGAATTCAAGAGTCAAATAACCCCTAAGATGTTTGGAGTTGAGGGTCAAATTCTTTTAAGGGTTGTTCGACCCGCAAGGTCGTTTGGCGTTGACGGTCAAACGGGCTTGAGGGTCGAATGACCTTTAAAGACCGTTGAGTTTGAGAGCCAAACGGTCTTAAAAGTCAAAGAATCATTAAAGACCTTTAGGGTTAAAGGTCAGATGGTCTAAAGGGTCGAACAGTCTTGAGTAATGAACAGAAAGGGTCATTTGACCCTCAACCCTTCATGTTATTAAGGGTCTTCTCCTTTTTAAAACAACTTGACCCCCAAATTAAAACGTCCGTCAGGGTCGTTTGACCCTTACCATCACTTGATCCTTAACCCTCAACGTTCGTAAAGGTCGTTTGGGGTTGGACGTCAAACGATCTTGAGGATCGAATGACCTTTAAGAACGGTTGAGTTTGAGGGCAAACGGTCTTAAGAGTCAAAGAATCATTAAAGACCTTTAGGGTTAAAGGTCAGATGGTCTAAAGGGTCGAACAGTCTTGAGTAATGAACAGAAAGGGTCATTTGACCCTCAACCCTTCATGTTATTAAGGGTCTTCTCCTTTTTAAAACAACTTGACCCCCAAATTAAAACGTCCGTCAGGGTCGTTTGACCCTTACCACCGCTTGACCCTTAACCTTCATCGTTCTTACAAGTCGTTTGATCCACTTGCAAAAAGTGGATTTTTTTTGGTACTGAATTTTAGGAATTTTCATTCTGAAATTGGGTCACCAGTCATTCCCAGTAAAATGCCTTTCAGAACCATCAGTTTCTTAAAATAAGTAACTCGGTTATGGAGACTGGGAACTGTTTTTCTTTGTGTTCGTACTCTCCATCGCTTACGTATTGCAGTCGGAGGAGTTCGAAGACCGCATATAGACCGTTTTTCATTAATCTCACGCCTCCAGAAATATCTTCAAGACTGCAATCCCTCAGTTATCGTATCGCCCTTGTCCTCAGACGACACACGCTAATGGGCGGATGCACGTGGCCCCGTCCACGGAAATAAACAAGTGATAATAAATATAAATCTTCGGTGAGTTTTATTATCTCTGGACGTGGAGCATGAGCTCTTTGAAGAAGTTGATGGGTTTTCCCTGAGGGAATCGATTTTCTCGGGGGATTATTGGGCTCTGGGGAAAGTGTTTGAGGTTTTTTGGGGAGAGTTAGTGGTTTTTGGGATATTTGTGACTAAATTAGGTGTCTTATGTTTGGGGAGGCAGCCAATGCTTCCCCAAATATAAGACACACTTTATTCTGCCGTTTCGGATTATTTTACAAATATTGTGAGAGTGAAGGGATTTGGAGACAGTTGTGAAGACATTTGTTGCGGAATATCTCCTTATTATTATTTATAAAAAAGGTCTTTTGATATTGATTCCCATTGGAGCGGCAGTTTTTTTACTGATCAATTATTGAATTCATCTACTTGTAGATTAGTTGGAAAATATATATAAGACCAATTGGTTAATCCAATAATAATGGAAAAAACATTCCAATTTTTTCAGTCAAGTCACTGATTTGAAGAAAGTCATGTTCCTAACAGAAAAAACCCTAAAGTTTAGTATCAAAAACCCATTTATGTCAAGGGAGAAACATTCTTAAATTGATTAAAATTCTTACATTAAAAATAATCGAATATTAATTAAGTTAAAAAGGCATGTGATATACTTTAAATGGAACAGATTTATAAACCTGAGTAGATTAATTTTAGAGAAGGAAAAAATGATCAATTCAAGAACGAAAATGTTTTCAATTTGGAAAGAATCCAAAAGGTCTGAATTCCAAAACCAACGTTTCCTTAAAATAAGAGATAATTTGGCTCAATTTAAAGACAATTATACCAGATTTGATGAAAATTAATGAAAATAAGAACTTTTTCCTCTGATTTTTAGGGAAAAATTGTTTTGAAATTATTGACAATTTTCCGTATTTCTGGAATTGTTTGTAAATTGCAGAGATTTTTATTAAAAACTAGACATTGTTTCAAACCCATCAACTCCAAAGATATTCGCGAAAAAAAAAAATTATTTCAGGATTTCTTCCTCAACGTGCACTCCAAAAACGAATAAAATGAAAATAATCCTGGAATATATCGTTAATCCCCTGGAAAAATCCCCAGTTTTAACAAATCCACAATTATCCCCATCCTGTATCCCCCAACCGAAGTCTAAAGAACGTCGAAACCCTCAAGGATTCACTATCGAATGCTTTTCTGCTCCTCTCCTTTTGTAACTTTTACCCCAAGGGCTCTCGTGCTCAAAACACACTCACACTATTCCCCCGAGTCTCCCTGTATACTCCAGAAATGTATAGGTACCGTGTCTGTGTAACCGGGGAATTCATACCTCGAGATTCCTCGACCTAGAAAGCATCTCTGAAAGCGATCATCCTGTGCACTGTACATTCGCCCCTGCAAAAGCTCATCGTCGCACTTCCGTTTCCTGTTTTTACGGCAAACACACATAAAAGCTCTCTCTCTCTCTCTCTCTCCCTCTCTCGCTTCTGCTCTTTCATTCTGCACGGGAAACTCAATACATGACGCTGTGTTGAATCGATCTGATCGGTTTATCTGTTCATCTCTCGTTAATTGAAATCCCATTTTCGTCAATTTAATTGTGACCCAATTGTTAGAGATATTTTTGCCTATTTTTGGGGATGTTTTTAGAGATTACGAAGGCGTTTTGAATGAGGAAATTTAATTATGTATAGAGAGAAAAAAAGTTTCTCTGAGAACTAGACGAAAAGTCCTAGTTCTGAGTAATTTTCGGTGAAATGTCATATCCATTGAAATAAGAACCATTGGGTATTGAAATCAAGAACCTTGGGGAAATAAAAAAAAGCCTTAAGAGTCCACCGATTAAAGTAGAGTGATATGTAAAGGTTATTTGACCCTTAAACCCAATCGCTTTCAAGGGTTTGAACCTTGAGACCATTTGATCCTCAACTAAAAACAAAACAATTTTCCTGAATTCTCAAATGGTTCAAACGAGGATCAAACCATTCTGAAGGGTCAAGAACAAGAGTAAAAAAAGCCTTAACAAGGGTTAACAAAGCCTTAACAAAGTTTTCAAGGGTTATTTGGCCCTTAAGACCATTTGATCCTTGAAAACATTTGACCCTCTACTAAAACCGAAACAAAAAAGTACCCTGACATGTCAAATGGTTCAAACGAGGGTCAAACGAACCTTAATGATGTTTGGTGTTGAAGGTCAAATGGTCTTGAGGGTCAAACAATCTTTAAGAAAGTTCAAGGTTCAGAGTAAAAAAGCTGTAAAAGTCCAATGGGTTAAAGCAGCGTGATAAGAAAAGGTCCTTTGACCCGTAATTCAATTCGGCTTCAGGGATCTTCTGACCTTTAAGACCATTTGACCTTCAATTATCTTCTTTGTCATTAGACCCTTACCCCTATTCGTCGTTTAACCCTTAAAAACATTTGACCATCAACTAAAAACAAAAAAAGTTTACTAAATTGCCAAATGGTTCAAACGAGGGTCAAATGAACCTTAATAATGTTTGGGGTTGAAGGTCAAATGGTCTTGAGGGTCAACTAATCCTTAAGAACGTTCAGGATTAAAAATTAAAAAGTCTCAAGGGACCAACGGGTTAGAGTACCGTCATGAGAAAAGGTCATTGTACCCTTAACCCTATTCATCTTCAAGGGTCGTTTGACCCTTAAAACCAGTTGACCTTCAACTAAAAACAAAACAGGATTCCCGAATTGTCAAATAGTTCACACGAGGGTCAAAGGAACCTCAATGATGTTTGGAGTTGAGGGTCAAACAATCCTTAAGAAAGTTCAAGGTTAAGAGTAGAAAAGCGTTAAGGGTCGAACGCATTTGGACAGAATGTGATCAAAAGTCATTTGACCCTTGACCCTATTCGTCTTCAAGGGTTCTTTGGCCCTTAAGACCATTTGACCCTCAACAAAAATCAAAAAAAAGTTTCCTGAATTGTCTATTCACATTCTCAACTGCATACGCGGTTCCTAATAGCTTTCTCAAATTTTTCTATTCGCGATCAATAATTCACAAAATCCAAATGGATTGGATGTTTTGTGGATTTTTTTTTTTGATTTGAGAGGTTTAGGCTCTATCACAGAGTAGATCGACACGGGCCACGCGTCTCGGGATAAGTCATTATCCATTCTGTGGGCGCACTTCCGGTGCTGTAAAAGTACTTCTCCACCAATCATTCGCTGACAGCCTTAAAAGAAACGCCAGCTACTTCTGTTCGGAAACGCATCACTCCACAGGCTTGTGACGTAAATTTAAACATCTTTCGGGGTTTTAGAGTTTATTTACTCACCATTGTGTAGACATCGACCTCTTTGTATGGGTTGACTGCCACCAGAATCGATCCTGTGTATGTCTGTTTTGATACTTGTTAAGGAAACTTAGTTAAAGCGAACAGCACATCGTTTACATAGAATTATAGAAGTGAATTCTCGTGTGCGGAGAGACAAAATCAATCCACTCAATTCCACTTTGTTAAGGTGGACCTCCATTTATGTAGGAAATGCACGGAGGGAAATATTCAATAAAAATTACGTATCTTTTCCGTAATTCCGGAGCGAAATATGGTTGTAGGAAATTTTACGGAACTGTCACGGAATTTTTCCTGCACGTTCCGTAATTTTTATCTGAATCTCCTGTGAAGTATTACGATAATGAAATGAAATGATTAGCTAATTAATAGAGTAGTTTGATGAACCTTTGAATTATTCATGTCATTTATCAGCAAATTATTGCACAATTATTTCGAGACCTCGTCGCTCTAAAATTACGGCCTAAGAAAATGGTTTTATGAGATTTTGCGAACAGTTGCGAACATCTGTTCGTTTGGAATTCAGACACATTTTCATTTTATCCAGACGTTTTTAGTGTCTAAAAAATGTCTACAAATGGTGTGTGAAATTCAGGCATTCGTTTTTGCGATGCAAAGATTCAAAATTATTCATTAATTTTTCACTTATTACTCATCTTGAACATTAATTGAGTTTTCCTCCCATGAATCATTAATTTTCATAACGTATTCATGAGTCCACGAAATCTAATACATTCGAAATTTGAATGAAGAAAAGGAAGCTTCTCAGAACTAAATTAGTTTTCATAAAGTTCAATTAAATTACTTATCGTAAAGATCAAAATCAAAATCAGAGTCAAATTCATACATTAATAAACCGTTGAAAATTGAATTAGAATATTATCGTGCAATGCAATGTCACGAGTTCGATGTTATCAAAATTATCTATTCATCATTACAGATTGAAAAAAAACGCATTTTTTTAGCTGCAGAATTTTCCGCGTTGTCCACGGGGAAATGAGAGATTGTTACCGACGAAAATTGAACATTTCCCCCCAGGACTTTCACGTCTCCCTTTTTGCATAATATAACTCACGTATTACCCAACGGTACACGTCTAGGGGACGATGGGGCGCCTTAGCGTGACGTCATTACCACTGTCGTTCCCTCTCATTCGCAACATTGATGGGCCAACCCCATACATGGGGATCTGGGGACGATGAGTCACGGGTGTATCGTAGCAAGGGGGTAATACACCCATAACCGTCACCGCGAGTGATCGCTGAAGGGTCGGGCAGACTCGATAGCATTGCCAAAACTGAACAACAGACGGGCCATTTCTCGGCTCAATAAAATTCACTTGGATATTTCGAAATACATTTCAGTAGTGAAGCGGTAAACCGGTTGTTGGAGTTCACATTCCATGATTACAAAAATTAATTTTATATTTCACAGTATGTTTATATTATTATAAGAGAACATTTTTGTGATCTGAAATTCTGAGAAGAGCGTGGACGAATGTTTGGGCATTTGGTTTTTCAGTCTAAACATCTGTAAATGAATAGAGACCTTTGTGGGTCTATGTCGCCAGGGTTTCAGACCTCTGGGATCTTTGTTTCTTTAGTTAGTCCATCTGAGGAGCTCAAAGCGTGTAGATGTGTCTTCCTCGTATATAATTTTAAATAAAGAATAGTATATTACGCACGAGTTTCGTTTACTATTTTATGTTATAGGGCCCAGAATCCGCGATTCTACTGAGCGAAGCGAGGTTAGAATCGCGTGATTCTGGGCACCCATGGCATAAAAGTTTCAACTCAACCGGATTGATTTTTATTCAAAATCACCCATTTCCAATACTGGTTTACAAAAGTATCTGCTTTGTATTTGCTTTGTGGCTTCGCCACTAGTTTTGCACAACATAATGTGCAGCAATAAAAATCAAGCAATCAATCAATCAATCGAAAACTGCATAAGACAGCGCGATAAATCTGATTGTCAATCATTGAAAATCCACCAAGCAGAATTCGACGATTTATTCTTCATTCTAAGGAAACGTGAATCATCAGAATGGAACCAGATTCATTCGAATCGCATTTTTGGGTCAGGAGATATGGAAGATTTAAAGTCTTCTTCCTTTTCCACTTGACTAGTGAATTCTCGGGTAGATAACCCGTATTTAGAATTTACACTCAATCGTCATATGTAGCATTCATCTCCGCTCGTGTCATATCGGCCTCACCCTCTTGCTAGAAATCCATCCATTCCCTAATATTGAGTTAACTCCACTCCCCGGTTCTCAGGTTGGAAGTAGATCTGGGGAATCGTAACCTTCAGATGAGTATCCAGAGTGACTAATGGTAATCGAATTGGTGAGTTTGCGAGACGGGAATTCTGGGATGATTCATCGTGTAAAAAAATTGTGAGTCGAACGAAGCCAAAGTCTGGGCAAAAGGGAAATTGTTCTAGTTCGAGTGACTTTACTCAGTTGCTAATCGCCTAACTAACATTTAACCCTAGTTCGGTCACCCTACGCGACCCGGCGACTTGGTCACGTCCGCGGGGAAGTGCCGCTGTGTTATTTAGGCCTGAACGTTGCCAAATTCACTGTACACTGTCCGGGAGAAATCTCATTCCGATAGCCCACGGCTTTTAAAACTCACGGTAGTCTCCCCTTAAGGATAATCGGGCGAGCCCGGAGGATTAAAAAAATGCAGCCATTTTTTTTTTTTTACGTATTCTTTAAATGATGGAAAAGGCATGTGCAAAATTTCAGACTGCTGGGGAGCATGGTTAATTTATTATGAATTTTTGAAAAAGTGGTCATTTAACCCGTGATCTTATGGAAATCACAAAAAAAACTGCAAAACCCTAGGAAAAAATGCAGCCAAATTCATGAAACTTTAGACACATTTAGAACATGTGATCAATGATTTTTTGAGTGAAAAAGATTGTCGCCTAGTAGCATTGTTTATTGATAATAGCGAAAAAAGTACTGAAAAATGAAATTTCTGCGCACGCAGCCCGAACGAGCAGCAACGTCCCAAGTACCGATCGGGTGGGGGTAGCGCGGTCAATTTAAACGTCTCTTGAGAGAGAGCGATGAAGCGTTGTGATTGGAGCTCCCTCGAGCCAGTGGTACCAGCTCCTGGTGAAAAAAAAACTACCGTCGACGTTGCCACTTTTTCGCATGGATTAATATTTTTTCATTTATTAAAAAAAAAAACAATCTGAAAACCATTCAATGCGTGGAACAGATACAAATAAATTTGATTAGCTAAAAATAATTTTTAACCGGAGATACTCCCTAATATTGCCTGAATTTTGAATCCGGATGGGGGAAATTTTTTTGTTCAGGGATTGATTTTCTGCAGGAAAACAATAGAAACCCCTCCACCTCACCTCCAACATTTCCTCCTCGCCCGATTATCCTTAAGTAAACATTTTTAGTTATCTCAGTAATGAGTAATGAGTGATTTTAGGATGAAATATCAAAAGAACTTTTTGGAAGAGAATTTACCTTAAGAAGGTCTCCTAACATTTTCTGGTAAACCCACAACTTTACGAGATATTTCGGATTGAAACTCGTTTTGGCCTCGGTCTCTCAAAAATTCAAAACGATTGGAAATAAATTCTCGTCCCTAATTACGTGGGCGTGAATGGATTTTTCTTGGATTCTCTACGAGAGCATAAAAATTCAAACTGCAGCTGGTAAGAAAAACACTCCATCGAGTTTGATCCCACACTTTCACGTCTCTGTTTCCTCACTCTAAATCCCCATTATCGTCCCACACGAGTGCCACACGTAACCAGGAAACTGCAACTGCTGCGCTCATTTGTGTCTCTCAAAATTGCTCAAATGATTCGGGAATTGCCTCATTAGTGTCTCTAAATAATGTATTTTTCCTAGGGCTGCTTCTCCAGGAGAGGACAAGCATTCACACGACAAATAAAAAACAGAGCTGCACACTGTTGAAAAAATTGAATTTCAGGAGTTGCCTACACTGTCGGAAATTTTTTGAAAATTCAGCAATTGTTGCACTTGAATTCTCAATTTTTTGAATTTGAATTTTAGGCAGAGCTAAATTTTTCTCTCAGTGTAAGAGTAAAGAGTCAAGTTTTTCAGGAAAAATCACGAGTGCTTCGCACTTGACTCCTTCGTTTGTTTGCAACGAACCTATCGGAAAATACCCGATAATTTTGAAGCTCTTGTGGTATTACAAGTGAGTAAATCTGTTCCACTCCATCAAATATTCTCACGTGGGCCCTATAGTTCATAATTTTTTCTCTCAATTCATTGATTGTAAATTTACTCCAGTGATGAGTGCCCTCATTACCGAGATAATCACCGAATCATCCAAATAAACCCCGTCAGTAAGAACAAATTCACCACTTCCCAAACGAATTGACTCAACCTCCGGCCTAGATGAAGTAATCGTCACTACAATGTCTCCGGGCTGATGAACCGGGGGTTCAGCTCAAGCCCAGCGAAGCACTAATAATCCGATTGGCTCGATAAGAAACGACGAGACTCAATTATCCCCATTATCACCTGGATTACATAACTCGGAAGAGGAAGGGAAGGGTTGAGAAAAAAATGGTGCATGTGGAGTGAGGCTGTTCGCGTCATCTTTAGATGCTCAGTCGGTCGCTCGGTCGGAGGTTTTTGACAAAAACCCGGTGGAGATGAATGGGGCTGCTCCAGAGTGAAGAAGGGTGGTGCGACCAGCTGACTGCGGGGGAATATGTCGCCATGGCAACCGCTACAAGCCCCCGGGAGAGGCGGACCCCACCCCAAACCAAAATTCATATTCAACGTCACTCGTTTTGTTTCTATTTTTTTGTTTTGTGTTTTTTTCCTTTTCGTGTGGATGGGGTCTCTGGCTGTTGCTCTTTATGCGTCATTGTCTGTGGCTTTTCACGTTGTTTTCGCGGCGGTGAGGACATTGTAGAGCGCTTTCCAGAGGTTTTTGAAATTGAGTTAGTGGGTTTTTGGATTTTTGCGCCCGAAGGGGAGAATTGAAGTCGTAGAATTCGAAATTTTCAATTTTTTTGGGTCAGGATAATTAGTTTGGGCCTCAGGAGTTCGAATATACTACTTTTGGACCATGTCTGGATGTACGTATGTGTGTGTGACCAATCGTTCCTCGACAACTGGGAAAACAAGTGGGAAATTGCTCTTGTATTGCATATAATTTAGTTACTTTTGCTAATAAATTTGTAATATGCGTCCGAATGATCATTTTGCACATCATTTCCTTCTATCATGTATGATTCATTGTTCATTTCATTTTATTAAATTGAATAAGATTTCTTTTCAACTAATTTTGCCAGATTTTCAAATTAGTTGAATGTTATCATCATCATTATTCTTATTATCCCTTTCTTCTGTACAACCGATTGTCTTTTTACGGTTCTATCTCTCCCCTCAGCCCTTCGATAAAATGTTAATAGAAGAATTTTATTTACGCATACTTGAATGAATTTGAAACATCACATTTGAAGAAACCATTCAGGTTTCAATCCACCATTAAAATTTAATTAATGCCGATTGATGGGGCTTAACAATAGCTACATTTGAAAGAAATCTTCAAACTCGGCCAAAAGGACATCCAAACAAATTTTTTAAGCCATCGTTCAATCAATTCAGAACATTTTTTTTAGCTATCGTGGGACAACCGATTTTCGAAAAAATTTGAAAATTAAAAAACTAATCGATGAGTTAAAATTCAATTAATGCCGATTGATGGGGCTTAACAATAGCTACATTTGAAAAAAAGATTCAATTATTAGCGAACAATTGAAGAAAGAAAAACTTCGTTACATATGTACACACGAGATCTAAAAATTGCATTTTCGGATTTTGTGCAGTGTCACTTCCCATGAGGAGTTAGTGTTTCGTTATCCACCACGGAAAATGACAGCTAATAGATAATTTGCGACAGCGGATCAGATATTTATAATTTCCCCTGTTTTCAACTCATTCTGAATCTCAGTTCAGAATTTTTTCCATTTTTTTAATCATTCTATCATAATTTTTGGAAATTTCTACATGATGTACCACTCAATTGACAATTTTGGATTACGAAAGACAAAACAAATCCAGATAACATTCGAAAGACAGTACACCCGGGCCTTAAAGCCATAAAATTAGTCAATTACTTTGGTCAACCAAAATAAATATTTGTTCAACCTCAAATAACGGCTTTTACCTTAAAAATCCCATTCGTTCTCTTTTTTATCTATTTTTTAATTAAAAGGATACGTATATTTGATCCCGTCCATATCGCACTTGCAGATTCCTATTGATCCCCCTCTCATCGATATCACTGATGACAGTCATGTCCGGCACGCCGGACTCTGGACTGGAGCCTGAAAAAAAATACAGAGAGAACGGTTATCGGAAAATTGTTAGTGCTGATGAAAGTGTGATATAAATTTGTTGCTCGATTAACAGAGAAGAGAGAATTGACGACTGGGGACGCAGGTGTATCTGGGTGGTTCGCATGCACCTGCGGTAGACTCAGACCACCGCTCGACAGCTGCCATCGCATCAACGTTGCATTCATATGTACTATTCAAGGACATTTCCTCCTGATGCCTGAAAATTTCAGCTTTCGCGATTTGTCTGCAGCGATTTAAATCTTTTTTTTTTGGAAATATCTATGGGGGGGGGGAGGATTAGGCGGAAATGTCAGAAGAACTTCTTTCAAAGGATTTCGTGATCTCCAAAAAAGTCTTCTGACTTTTTTCTCTTTAAAACTAGAATCTTTTAATTCCGAGATTTTTTGGAAATCATCTTTTGAAGAATTTTTTATTACAAAATCTAAGCGCGCGCTGATCTATTCACTTGTTGAAATGAAGAAATGGAATTCATTGAATTTCATTTTCTCATGAATACCTTATAAATATTGGTAATGAATCAAAGAGAATTCGACTAATGATTGAAGTGAATAGCGAAGTAGAGTAAAAGAATCTACAAAGAATTTTTCATTTTCCATTAATTATCTTCAATTTTTTTAAATAATCGGTCTCCATAAAAGGACTGAATTTATTAATTTCACTGATAAAATATATACATGTGAAATATATACATTATATATATATATATGACGTGAAAAAAAAATTGACCTCTGAAGACTTTGAAATTATGTCGAGGAAGAATTTGAAAATACCGCGTGTTTTTTTTTGTGAATAACTTCGTGTCACATATTGACCAATCAGAATTAAGGATTAGCGGTCAGGCAGTTTCGAGATATTTCGATATAAAACAACTTCACGTTTTTTTCATCTTTAGTAAATAGGATCTGTTACCTCTTGGTTAATGGAAATTAATTTTTTGTTCTCAAATTCAGTGCATTCAGAAATTTTCACAGAATAAGCTGTTCTGTTTTGTAAGTTGAGCTAAAAGTGCAGGAGTTTTGAGCCAAAAAACTTATTTTTTAGAGGATTTCAGGATTACTCTGTTGGAAATTTTTCGCTGATGTTTCTGGTACACTTCTTAGAAATTTCCTTCAAGTGACGGTTTCACTGGAATTTCAGTGAATTTCGCCATTGAGAATTCTCAATTTGATGAAAAAATCAATGGAAATTATGAATTTAATTTCAATTATTCCATCATAAGTAATAGAAATCAGAAAAATTCAGGTAAATATATTCTTTGATTTTCAATTTATTCGAAATTCATTGAAATTTAGAACTGAATATTATTTTTTTTTAGTGAAAATTGAAGTAAATTGAAAGACTTTCGTTTTCCTGTGGCTTAAAAAGTTGAAATTCTATTGAATTTCCTGTGACATTTGAAATTTGATGATTTCTTCTCCCTGAATCGAATTCAATGTCGCTCTCCTGACAATTATTACTAAACAGTCCACTACATTTCAATAATCTTCTGACATTATACTAGATTCATAAGTATTTAAAAAATAACTTTTTGATATTTGTTCTCCCTCTCTCGCGGTTCTCAGAAAATTCTACAATCTTTTATTAGTGCTTTTTCAAATTCATTGCACCTGATTGAGGTAATCAATTTTTAGATTCCTAATTCTGCGAAATTGTGTGTGCCAGCCGAAAGGACTTTTATTTAACTTAGAAATTGAAGAATTGAATAATAATCGTTATGAATAGTTGAAAAAAAAACAAATAAATGCACTGAAGTCGCCCTCGAAAATTTGTAGAGTATGGAAAATAACGTAAAGTTGTTTATAATTATTAGATTCTATAACTATTATTTTATTTTCATTCTATATTGACGCTCCCTCGTCTCTGCGAAGATAATAACCCACAGTGTGTTAAATAAATATAAATTCAGGTAACTTCTTGTTATTTACAAAAAAATTATTCCAATTTTTTGAATCACTCCGAAAGTGCCATTCTTTGTCAACACATTTATCTGGATAACGACTCATTCTAGCGGAAAATTGAAAGACACATTATTTATCCAGAATTCGATGAGCTACAAAAAAGTTCTTCTGACATTTTCCTCTAAACCTACGAGTTTCAAAGATATTCGCGAAAAACGTACACATTTTATTTGCATTTCTTTCACACGAGTTAAATTACTCTCGCAAAACATTATGTTTTGTTTCATGAAACGAGTTTATCTTTCCTGTAAAATTCTTGTCACCCGTACACTCCGGAAACGGATACAGTAGATCCAAGTGGCGTGATAAGCAAACCGGCAACCTCGAAGATAAAGATGCGGCACGCGCAACCCACTGGACGTTCGTTGCGAATGAAGGGAAAAGTTTGCTCGCGAAAAAAAAAACATAATGAAAGTTGAAAAATACAAAACAACGGAGGGGAGCACACCGAGATTTGAATGCAAACTTGACGCATCAGCGGAAATATTCGCACTCCCTTTTGAGGTTTTTACATCGTGGGAATGAACAGCGAATGGATATTCTGTGGGGATGGATTAAAATGAAAGAATTCGTGGGAATAAAACGAGAATTTTTTCGATTAAAAGAATATTCTCATGGTGTTCGACAGCAAGAGAACAGAATGAGTCGAGTCCATACTTTTCATGGACATTCCGTCATGTCTATTGTACGGAGGAAAAAAAATTAGAAATTAAATTTTCTTGAAGTAAGAGACAATGTGCCTCAATTTAAATACAATTATCCTATTTACTAAAGATGAAAGAAACGTGAAGTTGTTTTATACCGAAATATCTCGAAACTGCCTGACCACTAATCCATAATTCTGATTGGTCAATATGTGAAACGAAGTTATTCACAAAAAAAAACACGGGCGGGAAGAACTGAAAAATTTATTTTTCAATGTCTCCTAAAAGTTTTAAAACCGATTTTTTCCGAACAACGAAAGAATACCAATAAATTCGATTTCTATTCCTGTCTTTTAATAGAATTACTAGAATTATATAAATGGCAGTGAATTGCAAAAATCACGAATTGGAGACTGAAAATTTTTACAAAGGGATGATCGGCTAGAAAATCGAGAAACTTGGAATCACTTCTCTTCGAATATGGGCGGAATATGAATATTTTGTAATTCTATGATCTAATTTTAACGAGAAGGAAGAAATGAAACGCAAAAAAAACGTAGGCGGGAAGAAATAAAAATATGAATTTTTTAATGTCTCCAGAAAGTTTTAAAATCTACATATTATTTAGAATAATGGAATAATATCCATAAATTCGATTTCTATCCTTGTCTTTTGATAGAATGAATAGAATAACTGGCAGAAATTGAGAATCGTAGACTAAAAACTATCGGATTATTATTACGTAATTTAAGTGTGCATTATTGACAAATAGAACTTTCTTTTCTCCGATTTTTAGAAGAAATATTCTAAAAATAAATAAAAATTTGACTCATTTCCAGGATTATTATGCACTAGATTTCCGTACGCCAGTTGTAGAATTGCCTTCAGTGCGACAGAAGTTTTGATCAGAAATTACAAAATTTTACTCTGTATGTTTTTAAAAATATCTCAAAAACGACAGGATTTATCTGAAAATGTCAGAAGGCCATTTTTGTAAGGAATTAAATCTTCCACTTGAAATATTTACTGACATTTTTCCTCAAAATCACTCCTAAACAAGATAAATGCGTAATAATCAAACATCGTGCCCTCAAACAAACCAAAAAATTGCAACAGTTTATTTTGAAAATATCTCTGAATCCTTCAGTTAAATTCTAAAACATCAGAAAATCTTTTTTATAGCCCTCAAAAATCTCCACAAAAAATGTTTTGTGACATTTTCCTCTAAAGTTTACCCCTCCCAAGATATTTTCAAAAATAAAACTTCTGAAACATGCTCCACCTTCCAATCAATATTTAATTCATTTATTTAATAAGAGAAGCGTCAATTAACGAATCAAAGGAGCTTAATTGGCTCCCGAGATTGAAAAATCTACGAAGCGCCAGATTAATACAGCAAATAAACTGAGAGAAAATTCTCCTCTTTCCATTTTTTTCATTTATCCTCAGCCGCGTGAATCTCCAATTGCGTTTGCGACGCGTCTCACCACCCTTTTCTCAATTCCATAATTTTCTCTTCGTTCATTCTATCATCCCGACATGTGCTTGCGTGTCTAAAGCACATGAGGACGATTAATAAACACGGAAGGGCCTTGACCAATTTTTTTCATATTTTTTCCCACATTTTTCTCGCAAGTAATCTCAGCTCATTCTTATTTCATTGTGAGGATTCATTCAATCGTCGGGGTTTCGTGACTATCTCGAATTGAGTTGAATGACGATACATCAGGGGAGATGATGAATATAATTCAATTGCATTGAAGGATTTGATGACAAACAGAAACACATGACATTCCGTCTAGAAAACGGGGAATGATTCTTTTTTAATCGTCTACTTGAGGCCCAGAGGAATACGTTATTCACGCTCTACGAGAATTCGAGGGATCGGAATGAATTCGGAAGAAAGAAACCACCGATACTTGTGTTACATTGTTGAACTTCGGAGGGGTTCGGGGAGCTCGAGCGTATGGAAATTCGGGTAGAGTTTCTGGGGACAGGTGTCCCTCACGAGATCGCCAGGTAGAGAACTGTCGAAAGAATGGAACAGAATGGACCCACGAGAACAGGCACTCACCAACTGTTGGAGATGAAATAAAATGTTTTCTCGATGTTTTTATTTTTGTGGAATTTTATAATTTTTTTTTTCAAAATGATTTCATAGATTCTTTATCATTCGTTTCACCGAAATTTCATTGACGTTTTTCAACTTTGACCGCGATTCAGTCATGGTACACTGTTGAATAAAAATTGAAAATTCATAATAGACAGTTTAACCCTAGAATGGTCACACTAGGAGGGAAACCCCGCCGCGCGTCGTTTTTCTTTAATTACAATTGACTGTTTACCCGGAAAAATTCAAAAAAAA